GGGTAACGGCAGCGCTGCCGGTGCACGCGCGGGCAGCCTCCACGGCCTGGGGAACACTGCGCCCTGCAGCTGAAACCTCGCTGCAGGGAAGGCAGAGCCTCTAGGAAGGGAGACCAGCGTTGCTCTCGGTTAAGTCCACACCGAGTTGAAGTGACGGAGGGCGATGCTTTGTGTCGGGATTTCCAAGGACGGGCAGAGTAGAACTTCCAGTCCTGAAGCTTGAGACCAGTTTTCAGCATGAGCTGAGCAAGCTCTTCTGAAAATGCCCAGCAGCCCAGAAGAATTGTAGACAATTGGACACTTACAGTCACGGATTCCATACTTACAGACCCAGAATAGGACAGTAGCAAATGGAACATATTTAAACTTCCCCTGCTAATTATGGCCCACTACTAATTAAGAATAAACTCATTAGTCAAAGCAACTGCTATTTAGTTTCCATTTTTTCAGGCTGCACAGCAACTAGCCAATTAGAGGAGTGTTAACCCACACTAGGATAATGAAGGTAAAAATATATCGTCACAGGCATTTCAGATGACGTTAATTTAAAAGAGATAAAATGAAACATTTTTGGTCATTGTAATATTCAGGCAAGGTAAAAATTAGAGGGGGTGCGAAAGGCTTGGGTACACGCAGAACAGAAGGAATTATCCCCAGGATTCACAAAACAGAATACACTTGAGAAAATACTGCCCATTGGGGTTTTTTATTCCCTCTTAAACAACTTCTAATAAAGAAGGACTGTATACAAGAATACTCCTGTACAGAAATCCCTTGTATCTACCAAACAATCTTGCTGGATATTCCAAATGGTTGCAAGAAAACAGCTCTTAATAAGCACAGGAACGTAAGTCACCTTCTGCATCTATCAAAACTCTCACTTGGTAAAAAGTGGCATAAAAATTTAAACTAATATTGGAAATGAGATGTTTACTGTTCTTGAAGGATTATTCTTTGATCACAGGTAAGAAAGACAGAAATCTTTATATAAAAATGTCATTAAAAATATCACAATATCAATAAATTCCTGCAACACTGCAACTCTAACTTCACTTAATATAGGATTCTGCAGTAACTACGTAACATCTGTCACTAGACTTACCTGTGATGTAACATTAAAAACATGTCTACATGGTTGGTTTTGGTTTAGTTTTGAGGCAGACCTCAGCTCACTCTTCCTGAAGTCCAAAGTGGTGGGAGGCCAAAGAGCTTTGATCTGAAAGTGCTGTGTTCTGTGCAGGGTTTGAGTGCACCGCCTTCAGATCAGAGCTAGCCAGTATCCACATACCTTGGAGCATTGGTAAAGCCGGAACAGGTCTATCCATAAAAAAAAATTAGTCAGATACGCAATGTCTTTCAAAAATACACAGGTGTCAGAAAGGGTCATCCACTCTGATTTTCACGCCTAAATCAAGGTGAAGTATGCTCCTTATATGAGTTACTACTTAAAAGTGCTCTACTGGCTATCGGCTGTTCTCTTGTTCTGCTTCTAAGCAGTTGTCCAAGTAACAATGTTAACCCAGCCAAATACTGAGTGTTAGCTCTTCAAAGCAAAACAAAAGCTCTGCATGCCTGCTTTGTGCAGGCAGAGCAAAATATGTACCTACCATTTACAATGTAGTTTTTGAATAATCTCTTATTCCTTCTATCAAATAAAATAATCACAACCTGTATTACGTTCTCTAGCTACTGACAAGGTGGATTTAAGTGCCATCTGCGCAGTTGGAATTATTAACTAAAGCTCATAAAAATAACAAACAGGAGAGGAAAGAAACTATCACAAGGGAGTACACATCATAAATACTTCATTGTTAAACATTTGTATGCTGCAATTACTAAGACGGAGCAGCAATGCAAGCCTTTGCCATCAAGAGTATGTAATTTCAGAAAAATGCAGAGAAAACAGCCAACACATTTTGAAAGATAAAACAAACATACAAGGAAACACCTGAAAGAACAAATCAAAACCCATCCTTGTACGGTAGCTTCATAATAGTCTCTGAAGTCAAGATTTGGAGATAAGGTTATTTTGTGACCTAAGCTTCACAGTCAGGCAGATCTTCTCTCCTCACCTCTAAAGATTCTTTGCTGATTGACAATAGTTCACGCAGCTCTTTGTTTTCAAGCTGCAAAATCAATATTTTTGCTGAAAAGAAATGAGCTAATTCACAATTAAAGGACGATAATCTTTAAATGGCCCCACTCCTTCACAGCTAAATAAAACAGTGATTTTGTAAACATAAGCATTAATAC